CCACTGTCACTCCCAAGTCTTTCTCTTGACTGCTGCTCTCCATCACTTCCCCACCCGACCTGCAGGTGTGCCTGGGATTGCCATGGCCCAGATATAGGACCTTGCACTTCATTTTGTTGAACTTCATGAGGTTTGCATTGTTCCACCTCTCAAGCCTATCAAGGTCCCTCTGGATGGCACATCCCTTCCCTGCAGCCTGTCGACTGCCCCACACAGCTTGGTGTTGTCAGTGAACTTGCTGAGGGTGCTCTTAATCCCACTGTCCATGTCGCTGACAAAGATGTGGAACAATATCAGCCCCAGGACTGACCCCTGAGGGACACCACTCATCACTGGCCTCCACATGGACAATAAGCCGCTAAATCTGTGCCTAGAAGGAATGAATAGCTGTTTCCAGATTTAACCAAGCTGACATTTTACTCTAGCAAACATGGCTCTTGCTCTGCCTTTGTAGTGAGAGCTAGGAGTTCCAAATGAGCATAGAGTTCCAAGTCAGGTGAGTAGAGGTCCCACATGTTGAGTTCTGTCCAGTTTGTAAAGCAGGATAACATTGGTGATTAATGGAATATTAAGAGTCTAGATGAGTATTACAGTTGTATCATGTGCATCTTTATTCCATAGAGTCAGTCATAAGAATTCTGGTTGGAAGGGATCTTTGGAGCTCTCTGGTCCAACCCTCTGCTCCAGGCTGTGAGGTCAGTCCAGGTTAATCAGGGTTTTGCCCACTTGGGTCTTGAAAATCTGCAGAATTGGAGATGGCATAGAGGCTGTTCCGGTATTCTGGTCCATTGCCTGTCTACATGAGGGAGAATGTTTTTACTTATATCCTTTTGCCCTCCTGTTTTGCATCACTGTGAAGAGCCTGGCTGTGTTTCCTTGATCCTTTCTCTGTAGGTATGAGGGTAGCTGTTTAGTGACTCAAAAGCTGTTTGCTCCAGGCCAAGCCAGTGCTGGCCCTGCAGCCTCCACCTGCAGATTGTGTGCTGCAGCCCTGCCGGCTCAGTGGCCTTCTCTTGAGCTCACTGCAGTTTGATCGCTCGCCTGCACTAGGGGGCCCCAAACAAGGCTACTGTTTGGTTTCTTCAAACATTGAAAAAAAATTCAAATAAATACACTACAACTTGTATAATGCCAACATTTTTATCTATATGTATGTATCAATTTAAAATTATGTTTACTCACAGAAAGAGAAGTGGAGCTAAAATTCCCTACTGCTGTGTACCCTTGTAAAGAATTGCATCTTAACAGAAAGGACCAGCTGTTACAAAATGTAGTCCTGGATGAGATGTCTCTTTGAAAGAGTCATTTTAATCTACAGAATCCTACTGTACTTTTGTTTGGTTACTAACCTCCCGCCAGTTTTAGGAACATACTAGTTAGATTTCGTAGTTATAGATGGATAATAAAGCAAAACTGCTCATATTTTTGAACGAACTTTCACATTAAATTTGGGTTGTTTCTTAGGGTTCTTTTTCCCCGCCAGGAAAAGCAGTAATATCTAAACACTGTTGTGCTTGAAATCGAACTTCATAAACTGTTGTTGTGTCCTATTCTTTTATTTTTTTCCCCTAATTGATAAGCAGTGTGGGTGACGAATCTTCTTCTAGAGTGTTGTGATTAAGCCCAGTTTTCTTTTTACCAAGTAACCTTATGTTCCTAACTACTTTGAACAGAGGGCTTTGGAAGTACAGAGGAGTTTGACTCCTGCTTTTGTGTTTGGAAAGAACCAAAATGTAATATCTGAAAGGTTTCTTTATGGCCAGAAGGGATAATTCTTTGTTCACGGGCAGGTTGCATTATAACAGTTGATAGATTTGTACATGAAAACAGGAACACAGTTGTAGGCTGCCTCACTTCTGTAGCCATGGAGGTATGGCATTTTCATTTTTTCTCATACTACCTCTATTTGTTAGGATTTTCATTAGCAAAGGAACCCTTAATATTCAGGAACATGACTGTTCATAAGTTTTAGGTTTTTTTTATGTGCTTATGAAAACAAAACAGGTGGAGAAATACCCATTCAATACCTTCTACGCTAAAAACAGACACAAAGACTCATCATATCACTGAATTACCAACCACTTTTCATTTAGGTTTTAGTTTAAATAAGGCATATCTGGTGATCTGTATTTCAGAGTAGGAAAGGTATAGATCTTGATTGTAAGATGTGGAGAGAGATTAAAATTTAGGAGGAAAAAGAAGGGAGGTATGAACTTCCAAAGGAAAAATATTTGGGTTTGCCAGTGAGTGTTTTAACTTCTACAGGTACATTTTAAATTTTTTTTTCCTGGCTGAAGGTATATTTATTTGGCATGGGCACATATCTTTGGTGTGTATTATAAGAATGATGTGGAAGGAGGTTTGAGTGGGAGAACATGCAGAAATACAATCAGGGGACTGGAAAGAACTCAGATTTTTATTTTTTTCAGTGAATAAACAGTTTGTTCCATATTCCGTAAAAGCAAGGACCATCACAGGATTTGACAGGACTCGTCAAACCTCCCCCCTCTGTGATAGAACAGTGTGTACTGCTGGAATTCCTGACATCTGGATTGAGCTAACAGTATATCTAAGGAAAAGATACTTTTCTATGCATGCTCCTCTATTTACAGCTTTCTTCAGATGCGTTGTGGCCCTGTGTCCTTTGCTCAGCTGGCAAGTGGAGTTGGTTCTGCTGCCTTGCTTGAAAATAGTTACATTCATTCATTCATCCAGTGAGTTTTATAGGTAGAGGGTTTTTTACCACCTAATCACGTTAAGGGATTGGTTTGGTTGGTTGGTTAGTTTGGTTTGGCTTTTTTAGTTTTTAGATAGTAGATGCAGAAGTTGCTTTTCTATGCAAATCCTCTAAACAATAAGATGATTTGCCCCTTTGAGTCATAGTTTTCATTTTTTATCCATATTGGCGTGTACAATTCCCGGACTTCAGAAATTCCCTGAAATTAAACTGCTCGAGTAGAAATGTTCCTCAGAGAAATCTGACTTGGTGTTCTTTTGTGTGTGTGTGCAGTGGTGGAGGTTTTCAGTTTCCAGTCAGTAAGTAGGTATTTAAGCATAATCATGAGGGTTGTACTAAAGCCTAAGGGAAATCAGAGGATCGACTAAACAAACTGTCATTAGCTTTCAGTGTGTTTGTGACTTGCATTTTTGCTATTCCCACAGGTTTGCAGAATTTATTTGCAGAAATTCTTGTTGAGTCATTGAGTTTCAGAGGACAGTATAGTGTTTGCATGTGTTGCCTGGGGCAGATGAAATGCAGTTAAATGTGGAATTCTTTTAAAACTATTCAGCCCAGAAGTTTGGCCACCTTACTTACTTTGTTCCCAGTATCTTTAAGTTCCAACTCCCATATATCTTCAGGACACCAGAAAAGTGAAAACAGAAGTTTGTGCTTACTCTGTGCAGTGACACTGTAGAAGTAAAAATGCTTTTAAAGCTTTCCTTTTTCTCTCTGCTGTAACAACTTGGGTAATGACCTGCTTTAATTACAATTTTTTGGCATATAATTGCAAGGAGGATTTTCATCTGTCTCCATTGAAGCATTTTGCATTTATCTGTTCTAAGCAGCCATCATTTGAATCCCTTGCTTTACAGATACATTTTTCTGAAATAATTCTGTTTGAGAATCTGTAAATTCCATTTAGACTATTGTAACAACTGCTTAGAACTTTGTCCCATGTAAACCTTGTTTGTGCTATTCTCATTTGAAACAATAAGTAAATTCATTGAGTAGGCTGCAGCATGTTGGTAGTTTTTTTACCCATCACAGGTTTTTGTGTACCTCAGAATGGGAGTGTGATTCTTGGAGAAACTTTCTGAGCAGTACTTAGTGAAACATGTACTGAAGTGTCCGTGGTTAGAAGCTCCAAAACACTGAAGATCTGTGAATTATGTTCATATGTTACCTGAAACGGTATTTCTAACACCTCAGTCTTGGAGCAGCTTAATTTTTGTATCAGTCTTTATTGTATATCATGTAAATAAGAGGAGAATGCAAGACTCTGAAACAAGACTGGTCACCACCTGTAAAATGGTGTGTTGTAATTTTAGAGAAGCTACTCAAGTCAAAAATTAAGCACAAGCTTAGTGTGAGTAATGGGTAAGAAAAACAGACAGTTTAAAGAGGAGAAATAGGCTGTTGTTCTTCCTGGTTTTGAACATCCAGAACACACTCTAAATCTGATTCACACTGAGTTTGTAAACCAAACAATCAGATTTAAGAGTTTCTAAGAAACTTTGTTCCAATCTGGTAGTCTTGTCATCTTCCAGCATCCTCTCCTGCAAATGTGGGAAGGTCGATCTTCCTCTTCATAGCTTCACTGGTTCTTCTCATGGATTTTTAGGGTATCAGGTGAGTGCAAGTGGTACAGAACATGAGCTCTAGTATCTGTTCAGACATGCCCAGTTTTTAATTTGCAGCAGAAGATCCATAATTTTATGAAAATATTTTTCTGTTACATATCAGTGAGTCTTAGAAAAAATGTCAGTGAAAAGGTTTAAAGTTACTTGCTGGAGGAAACCACATTTTTTAATCTTGATGTGAATGTGAAGCTTATTCATGTTTCCTGCAGAATACAGAATACCTGCGGCAGATTGAGACGTTTCCAAAACTGGGTACTGTGAAGCAGTGGTTCAGCTATGGCATAAATATTCACATATGGTGTCTGTGGGGACTTCTAAAATTTTATCCAAATTTGAGGCACTGTCGAGAGTTCAACTGTTGAAATCTCATCTTAGAAAAATGCCACAGTGACCCAGTACATGGCACACAAAGGGTGGTGGAAAAGTAAAAGTTTGCAGGCATTGGCAGCATCGTGATGCAAGTCTTTGTTCCTAGTGAATATTGGAAAACTATGTTATGTGTGCTAATGAAAATGAAATGTAGCCTCTGGTTTTTGTCATCAGTAACTGAACATTTCTTGAATACAGCCATTGCAATGAAATACTGGACTAATTTGACAGTGATTACACTGAAGTACATTTATAAACAGAGGTTGACATGAACAAAATAAACTACACTACTGCTTTCAAGTGACCTTGATTTAAATGCTTTCTGTTTCAGATTTGTACTATGGTGGGGAAGCTTTCTCTGTAGAACAGCCACAGTCTTTTACTTGTCCTTATTGTGGAAAAATGGGTTATACAGAAACATCTCTTCAAGAACATGTTACTTCTGAGCATGCGGAAACATCAACAGAAGTGGTAAGAAGCTTCAGAATTGGCTTTCGTGGTGCAGATATATTTAAAATAGTCCATTTTCTGAAAAATTATTATCCTCCTGTTCTTTTTCTCTCTTGAAGCATGTGTTCTTTTAAATGCTTTGTCAGAAGACACACCTACATTTAGTAGTGACATCAAAATTCTTCCATGATTTGTGGGTGTCATAATATAGTGAGCTTGCTTGCTTCTTTTATGGCTTTTATTTTGTTGTCCTGATACAGAAGCTGCCATGGCTAGGAGATTATTATCCTGTAAGACAAAATTTAGAGAAGTCTTGATTATTCTGTCTAGCTGTGTCTCCCTTTTCACAACCAGTATGTAATTGTCCTGGAAGCTTATAGATATGGCAGTCTTATGTAACTGTAAGAGAGAGGCAGACATACAGTTTGGTGTGGTTTTGTTTTTCAGATAGCCTTCATAATGGACCTGGTATTTTTATGCAGTGGAATTTATCATTCTTCTAAAACTGTTCTTGTCAAAGCAGGGGTTTTCCCCCCATCCCTAACTATTAGGACACTCCATGTTATCCAAATGTCAGCACAAATGCTTTAGTCAGAGATACTAGCTCCTGCTATCTTGATTGACATTGTGAGTAGGAGAAACTGGGTCAGCAGAATGTACTGTTCTCTGGCTGTTTTACCATAGATTCCTAGACAGGAGTAATGCTTGAAGTGAAATCACTCATTGCTAATAAATTGTGAATAAGTTTCTCTTTTCTAATCTTCTAGTTTTCTTAACTGTCAAGGAATTCTTTGGAAGGAAATGGATGATTTCTCTCAGAGCATATTAAGGTTCTTGGGTGAATGGGTGGTATGGAATGGTCTTTGTTCACCTTTTTTGGCACACAAAGGGGTCCTGATCTTTCTTTAAAACATAGGAAGTGAAACAGTTTAGTACGCAGTCAGTTGCACTGTAGGATGATTATTTAACTCAGTGACGTGTTGCAATTTTTATAATCTCCTTGAGTTTTTCTTAAACTTTGCTACTTTCAAACATAGCATCAGCCACTGAAAGTTCGCTGCTTGGATGACTTTCTTCACTGGCTTAGTACTGCAGTTCTGATTTGCACCACTTGATGTCAGTGATACGTTCCTGACAGAATGCTCAGAATTCAGGTTTTTGAATTCGACGTGTCTTTGTTTGCAGCTGTGACTTCCAGAGCTCGGTACATAAAGTCTACATTTGTAATGCCAGACACCTGCAAGTCCGGTGATTCCTGAAAGAGTTGTAGGTGTAAAAAAAGTAAATTTTCCCTTTTTTTGTGTCAGTCTGCAGCATGGCTGTGCCTTTGTTCCAAACAATGATAAAGGACAGTATTTTAATCCTTGAAAATTACTGTATATATTTGTGTTTTGAATCTATCATTTATGGTTTTATAAAAAAAACCCCAGTTTTTCAAAGAATTAACTGAACAGATTTTGGTCTATTAGATTTTGCCATTTTTATGTTCAGAGTGGTGCAGATAAGAACTCCACTTTCCACTGATTTTTCTCAGATATTGTCATTGGTTTGTACAACAATGTCAGGTGTTTGTGGGCAGAAATCACAGACTGACTGAGGTTGAAAGGAACCTCTGGAAGTCATCTGGAGCAGAGCCACTTGTAGCTGATTGCCCATGACCATATCTAGGCAGTCCTTTAATACCTCTGAGGATAGTGACTCCACAGCCTCTCTGTGCAACTTGTGCCAGAGCTCGGAGACCCTCACAGTGAAAAAGTGTTTTCTGGTGTCTTCATTGCTCCAAACTTTCCCCCTGGTCTCTGGGGCCTGGACTTCCTGAAGACCAATCTTCCCAGTAAAGGCCAAGACAAAGGAGGCATTCCAGACTTGAACCTCTTCTGTGTCCCATGTAACCAGGCCCCCTGTCTTTTGAGCAATGGGCCCACATTTTCCCTAGTTGTCTGTTTCCCATGTTCTTCTGGAAGGCCTTCTTGTTGCCTTTGATGCTGCCCACCGGATTCAATTCAGTTTGGGCTTTAGCTTTCCTCATGCTGCCCTGTGATGCTCAGATAATGTGTATGTACTCTTCAAAGTTAGCCTGAGAGGGTAATCTCTGTTTTCTTTTTGTGTGTGAGTTTGAGGAGCGTCTTGATCCATACATGAGTCCAGGTAGGCCTCCTGGAATTTTTGCCTGACTTTGTATCCATTAGGATGGAGAACTCTGGAGCTTGGAGGGTATGATCCTTGAATATTAACAAGCTTTCTTGGGACCCCTCTACTCTCCAGGGCCTTATCCCATGGGACTTATCCAAGCAGATATTTTAAGAGGCCAGAGTATGCTTTGCTGAGGTCCAGGGTTGTGAGCTTGTTTTTCATCGTCCTCCCTGCCCTCAGGATCTTAAACTCCACTATGTCAAGTTTGCTGCAGCCAAGGCTGCCTTTGACCTTCACATCCCAAATGAGCCCCTCCTTGCTGGTAAGTATGAAGTCCAGCATAGCATCTCTTGTTGTCAGTTGTCACTTGGAGGAGTAATTGATCATGACTGCAATCCAGGAACCTCCTAGATAGCAGTCATGCTGTGTTGTCCCTCTAACAGATACTGAGGTGGTTGAAGACCTTCATGAGGTCTTGCAAGTGTGAGGTAGCTGCTCTATATCTGTAGAGGGCCTGTTCCCATTTGTTCTTCCTGGCCTGGTGGCCTATAGTACACAATGTCACCTTTGCCTGTCCTCTTTTTAATCCCAACCCAAATCAAATGCAGCTTTCAACTAAAGACAAAACTTTTAGTAAACTTCATCATATGTCATCTGAGTCTAATTTCACAACAGAGGTGCAAATTTTCTACTCTTACATTGCACTGCAGCAGCTTTTTTGCCTTCAACAAGGCAGTAACTTGTTGAGTTTACAGAAGGTCTGTCACTTCAAGTGGTTTTCTTGTATGTGAATAGGGAAGTGTAGGGGTAATATAAGCACAGTTGTAAAAACTGGCAAGTATTCTGTGAGTGTGATTGACTCAGGGCTTTGGTGTCATCATTCAAGGTAGCATGGTGATTTCTTAGTACAAGTGCTCATAAATTCAAGAGAAATGTGTGAAAACATTTTCCTTTCATGTGCACCATTTGTTCATGCATGTTCTAATTAACAATTAATATATTTTTAGCTTTGTCATAGTCAGTGATGCATCAGTCTTAGTTGTGATCTTGTCGGAGCTAAATCGTTTGTCTGTAACAATACTTGAGTAAATTTTCGCAGTCAGAGTTCTTCAAAGTTTAGTTTATGTTTGGAATTAGGGTTGGGATACTTCAATTCTCTCTTTCTCCTTGTTCGTTGAAACTTTTTCTTAACTGATGTTTCTCTGAGGACTGAGTCTCTTCAGGCAAATATGCACAGCTCCTAACACCTTTGTCCTGTTAGCAAAAGAGCTCTCCTTTGCTTTGGTGCTTTCAGGAGTGTGGTGTTCTTATGTTGTGGTTCTGCTTCCTCAAGAGTAGCTTAAGTAAAAAAAGATTACTTTGAAGGTGTTGTGTTCTGTTGGTATGAAACACATTCTTGAGGATTAAGCATCTGTAATGAAGTTGATAGACTTCAGAACCATCTGTTCAATATCCATAGATTCCTATAGCACTGCAGGGTTGATATGTTGGCATAGTTGAATATTCATTATATTGCGCTGTGGTAAGATGTGCTCTGTGGAGTGTGTTTGTATGGCTTCTGTAGTGGTGAAGAAAATCTGAAATCTACATTGAAAATAAAGGGGAAGGGGTTGTAGCAAAAAACTTTTAAAATGGTTTTTTTTCTGTTCAGAACTGGCTACTAAAATTAAAGTGACATTAGATATAGCAGTTGCTGTCACAAGCAGCTGAGATGTTATAGTAGACTTATTTCAGGACCTTGTTCTTGCCTCCATAAGAGTGAGACAGATGTGTGCATATAGGTGTTCTTAATGCCTGTGATCTTTTGAGATCTGTAATAAACAGTGTGAGTATACACATGAAGAGCCCTGAGAAATGGGGGTTTATGTTCCATCCAGCTACTGTAAAGAAAAATGGAAGATGCTTTTCAAGCTGTTTGTGGAGTCATCAAAAAACCCACAAGTCATAATTCTGGCACTTGTCATCGTAGTGTTTTTCTGCTTAGTTAACATGTACTTTGGTTTAAAAAAACAAAGCAAAAACCAAAGAGAGACCTCAGTGCCTTCTCCCAAAACACTGTTGTGGAGGGATAAGGCTGGACCTGTAGGTGTGCACTGCCTGGGTGGTCTCCATGTGATACTTAGCAAATACTTACGGGCAGTTTGATTCCAGCTCCTCTGCTGGGAGGAGTATCAAGCAGGCCAATAGTATTAGACTCTACTGCCTGTGGCAGAATTGGCAATACAAATACCAATTTCCAAGACACTGAGTTTGAGAATCCTAGCTCTGGTTTCTATAGTATTCTGAAAATCATAAAGTAAAAGCTGTCTAAATTAGTATCTGCTCTTCAATACACTATGGGGTTTTTTAATATGTTGGTACCATGTTTTTGAATACCTAGAGTGTGATTTTAAAGCATAAGAGCCAGTGTCTAATGACTGACTCAATGACACAAGTTCTATTTTGTGTAAAATTTATAAAGTTGGGTTTTTTTCTTGCTTTGTCATTTCAGATTTGTCCAATATGTGCAGCATTACCTGGTGGAGATCCAAATCACGTAACAGATGACTTTGCAGCTCATCTTACACTGGAACACAGAGCTCCTAGAGATTTAATATCCTTTCCATGTTGAGACAAATAGGCAAAACCTAGTAGCTGTGATGACTTGATTTGTTTTTTGTTTTCAAAGTGACATATTCTGGTTTTCCTGGAACATAAGTTGCTAAAGATCTGTATGTCAAAAATAAAAAGGTTCATTTGCTAGTTTAAAGAAGTATAAATGCAGACTGTGTACAGACTGTAGGTACATTTGAGAGTGCTTTCTGCTCTAACAGCAGAAACATTTAAAGAAGTTTGACACAGAGGAGGTTTTTCTACTTGCACTGTGGTTTATCCTGCCTGATCATTATTCTAGGTGTTATTGTATGTATCAAGATTCAGTAGTATGCTGTAGAGATTTATGGCATCAAGATGATGATATGAGGATAATTTGAGCATATTTGGTTTTGATAAAAGAGTTTCAACTTGCTTAACTACTTTCAACACAATCTTTTAATAATGTGATTTTGTAGTGTTACTGACATTGTTGTAATATAACTCAGAAAACTTTCAGATTTTCTGGGAAACAGGAGTTGTCTTTCAGTTACCTCAGCAGCTGTTGATGCAGATTCAACTGTGCTTGATGGCTAAAGAGCTGGAACTGCTGTGGGATTTTTATCCTTGTTCTAGGGATACTTTTTTTTTTTGTAAATTTTTTTTCCTCCATAGTATTAACTGAGATATATTTTAATTACATGTATTTTGGTTTGGGCTTTTATATGATGATATGCAGGCTATGTAGTATCCCTACAGTAAGTTCTGAATTAGTCCTTTGTGTTTCATTGAAACAAACAGACAAAAAGATTATAACTTTGATAGTGGCTTTTTAAAGATTTTTAGACAGGAAAAAATAATCTAAGCTATAGTAATTAGAGTAAAAAACCTGCCTAGTAGAGTTCATTGTGCTAACA